GTTTTTATGTATATTTTATGTATATTTATGTATATGATTTTATTTTGCAGAAATGCTACAGAGCAAATATTAAGGGCTTTAGACAGGGTGAAAGTTTAAAAAAATCGATTTTTTAGTTTTGGTATATTTTGGAAGATATATGTCTCGAGAATATGTATATCAAGTTTCAAAGCGAAATTCTGAAAGGTGACGAAGATACAGCAATTTTTTTGAAGCAGCGTTTGTGTCTGAACGCAGCGCACGGTGCGACGAGCGCGCAGGTATAATGCAGTGTGGCCGCTCGACCTTCTCCGAATTGCACGAGGGGCCTTTGTTAGTTTTCAGGTAGGGTACAGTCGTCTGAGAGTGGGGAAAACTAGATCAGATTATATTCAGTCGTCTTTCGGCAACTGTGCGACGAACTTCAAGCGCTCAGAAAGATCGTTATACGTTGTAAATATTTTTATTATCATGGATAGAAAAGGACAAAGGCACGAAGTTGGAAAATCAACGAAGAGAGCAGATAGAAAAAGAAAAAGATGTGTTCCGAAAAATCGCTACCAAGCAGAGAAGCCAGACATAAATATCAGCACTTTGTCGAAGAAACTAAGCAGCTTTGGCAAAACTAACGTCATTATTAATCCAAATATCAGTTACAGGATGATTAATTTCATTGCTGTTTTTTCCGCCATAAGCACATATGTGAAATGCAAAACGTGTGGAGGAGATGTAGAGTTTTGCGAAGGTAACAAACGTGGACTTGGATTTAAAATTATTATAAAGTGTCGATCCTGCGTACGGAAAGAAATAAATTCGTGCCCACTAATTCAAAATGCTTACGAGGTGAATCGTCGTTTCATTTTTGCAATGTGAATAATCGGAATAGGATTAGCTGGAGCAGAGAAATTTTGCGCATTCATGGATTTACCGCGTCCTATATTCAGGTCATTTTATAACACTGTAATATCTCAAATCTGTGATGCTACGGAAGCTATAAAAAACTTAACATATAAAAAAAGCCTGTGACATTGAAAAACAATTAACAAATAAAAAATGTGAAAAATCTAATGGACTAACCGTTTCTGGCAATGGCAGTTGGCGTAAGCGCGGTTTCAGTTCATTACATGGTGTTGTAACCGTCATAGGTTACTACAGCAAAAAAGTACTTGATATTTCAGTAAAATCATCGTATTGTAAAGAATGCACAGCATGGCAGAAAAAAACCCATTTACCGGAATATGAACTTTGGAAGCAGGAACATGAAAACCAATGCAGCGCTAATCATACAGGCTCAGCAGGTAAAATGGAGCCCGATGCCATGCTAGAAATCTTTCAAAGAGCTGAAGAATTACATGGCGTAAAATACGTAAATTACATAGGAGACGGCGACTCAAAAACTTATAGTAAAATTGTACAGCAGCTTCCGTATAATGTACAGAAAAAAGAGTGTATAAATCATGTACAAAAGAAGATGGGAACCAGATTGCGAAATCGCAAAAAAAATGAGAAGGGCCTTGGTGGTAAAGGCAAACTGACCGACAATTTAATAAAAGATCTCACGCTGTATTACGGTCTTGCAATAAGGCGCAACAGTGATTCCCTTCAAAACATGAAGAAAGATATCTGGGCCACTTTCTTCCACAAGTGCTCTACGGACGAAAAACCACAACATGATAATTGCCCGACAGGAAAAGACTCATGGTGCAAGTGGCAAAAAACTTATGCGCTTGGCAATATCAATAATTTTAAACACGAACCTGCAATGCCAGAAGCTGTGTCCCAAGCAATCAAACCGATATATGAAGACCTCACTTGGGACGATCTTTTAGAGCGCTGCTTAGGTGCATTCAATCAAAATAATAATGAAAGTTTTAATCAAATTATTTGGAAAATTGCACCTAAGTCAACTTTTAGTGGCACCTCTATCGTTCAAATTGCCGCCAATGTCGCTACAATAATGTTTAACGATGGTCATGTAGCGCTCCTAGATGTATTGGAGCTTCTGAACATCGAAATTGGCCAAATATTATACGATTATTGCCACTACACGGACGAAGAACGCATCCGTATTGCTGAGCGCCAAGCCTATAAAAATACGCGCGAAGGTCGCTTATGCGCTACAACTTCTGCTGGCGTGAACACAACAGCAAATTTGGATGTAGAAGAGCTGTTATATGGCGCAGGGATTGCCGAATAAGAGTAAGTAATTTTAATTCTTAATTTAATATGTAATTTACGTATAGTAATCTGAAAGTAAAACTTTAAACGTGTTTTTCTCGAAACCACTTTTTTCAACCTGGTTGACAGCAAATCAAAAAATCTACTCAACGTATCAACTTGGAGTAAATTGCATTTTATTCAAAAAATCTATCTCTATCGTCTATCGTAGCCGTTTTTTGATTAATAAAAATTTCGTAATTTTATTAACATTTTTCGCAACAAAAAAAAATCAAATTTTTAAAAAAATTTTCAAATGCCTGTCATTTTGTTTTTTTCTGCAATATCGCAATTTCCCTACGTACGACTATAGCTATACTCATTATCTTTCATAATCTTTTTCATTTTTTTGTTTCAGACAACGCATATGGTCGATTTGCTGTCAACGCGGTAAAAAGAGCTACTTAAGATTGCCTCTTGTATAGCAGCCTTAACTATAGTAAACGAGGCCACAAAAATTTTTTTATATACTCAAACATTGATACAATAAAGTACTTATAAAAAAATTACTTGACTTTATTATATATTTAAAAAAAAATTCTCAAAAATCGGTTTTTTTTTAGACCCTGTCATCACCCTGTCTAAAGCCTTAAGGATGCTAGTCGTATTAAATGTTTCGCATAAAGAAGTGGAACAACGTTTAAAAAAACTTGAGGATGTTGTAAAAACATCCTATCCACAAAGAGCTTCAGATCTACATCAAGATTGTGAAATAATGAAAGAATTCTTACCTTTTACAACAATTGATGCTGTACGGGAATTTGACAAGGTATTGCGTACGAATGAGATAGCAGTGCAATTTGTAAGTTTAAAAATTTTATTGTTAATTGTTTAATCTCATAATATTAAAATTTTAATTTGTATATAAACATTGTTGTGTTACAGAGACAATTTATCTTAAAAACCGGCGGAAATAACCCGAAGAACAGCATACATCGAAATCTGAAGAAAATCTTCAGTAATGAATGTGCAATGCAATGTTCTTGGAAAGGGTTACGAAATAATTTTCGTATTTCTAATTTAAAGGTGATAAATATTCTGAAAGGTATGTTAATATACATTCTTAAACTTATAAATAAAAATTTCTAAATGTTTTTATTAATGTATTGTGTTTAATTTTTGCAGGAGAAATAACATCGCAGTTTAGTCTTACAGAGACTGAATTTGATAATATCGCCAGCGAATGGTTTCGCTTTGCCAAGCAGCGAAAGGAAAGAAGCGATAAGGCTAAGGAGAAGGAAATGGAGTAAACACACGTGTGGAGTAGTCAGAAGTATGGCTATTAAAGCTCTACGAGGGATGTTGGCCTCATCGAACTTTTTTGTATACTGCGAGGTAAACTAAGTCGTCGAATTCGTTTATAAATGTAATTTTTTTTTAATGGTTAAAAATTATTATTGATCAATTGGTTTGAACCTATCTATCGGTCTTAATCTTTTTTTGTTTATAAATGTAATAATTTTTTTAATTGGTTAAAAATTATTGATCAATTGGTTTGAACCTATTCATCGGTCTTAATTTTTTTTTATGCTATTGGTCTTAATCCTTAGAGGACGGGATGGTTTTCGAACGATTTCTATAGTTTTCAATTTAAAACTTTGAGATATATGTCATAGTAATATATATATCGGCTTCCCGTTCTTTAGAGGTTAATGTTATTCATTACATTCTTTAATTGAAATAATTATTAATTGAAGTTGAAGAATTATTATTTAATAATTTTATAAAGTTTGTGGAAATCGGAGTACGCGAGAACGGATGCGGAAATTAGAGCGATCTTGAGGGCCTGGAAGGCATTTTTTTCCTCGTCCCCCCAGCGAGCATTTTACCACGTGAGTCAAAGGTGCCGATATGGCGGAGAAATTTTCAACGAAGCGACGGTACTAGGACGCCATTCCCAAAAATGGCGCACCTTGCGGACGGTGGTCGGTGTGGACCATTGTTCCGCCGCATTTTTTTTAAGATAGCAAGATATTTGAAGGTGTGGTCGCGATCTATAAATTATGTCGACGGGGACCGATCGGTGTCCGCGCCGGCTCCAGTTCGGTCGGTGTTTCCCGATGGCGGATGGCAGTCGCGAGTTAAGACGCCGTCTTTCCCGCAGCAAGAACAAAACTTCTTCGGAGGCATCTTGCAGTCGGCCCAGGTGTGACTGCGCTGCTTGCAGCGCCAGCAACATTCGTCCCGGTTATATGCTGCTGCGGCCAAGTTCGTAACGTTCTCTGTTTTCCGGTGTCGTTCCTTGCTGCGTACGAGGATCTCTTCGTATTCAGCTGCGCGGGTGGCTAACTCGCGCATGGACGCTACTTCGTCCATGATATAGTTATTAGACAGATTTACATACATTATATATACATCATTCTTCAAGTCAGTTTTGCCAAGTTCTTCACACAGTTTTCGAGTAGTTTGGGCCGACGAATTAAAAAGTAAACTAGTCGATACTTTGTCGCGACCAAGTGGTGCATCTCGAGTAGAGAGTCCTGACGACATCATCCCGCAGCAGGGTGCCCACACGTTTATATTTTATATTAATAAATAAATAAATTACCGGAATTGCGTATCGCTGCCGCCACAATCAGCTACCGGCTAGCAAGTGGGTGCACTTGGGTACTGTTACTGAGGTATTGCTGCTGACCTCAGGCGATGAAAAATTTACCTCAACAAATCTTCTCGGTAACGAAAATTTTTTCTTCGCTGACCTCAGGCGATGAAAAATGTACTCCAACAAATCTCCTCGGTAACGAAATTTTTTTTCCGTCTAACGACGGTATTTCTGTTTCTATTTGTGGTTGGCTATTTAGCTGTCACAGGACCCCCTTGGCTGTCTTTAAGTCCGGAATCTTCCCGGTTGGTTTGATTGGTCGCCCGCTTCTGGTTTTCTGGGGTTCTTGTTTATCTGATGTTTTTGAGCTTTCTTGCTCTTCTGTAGGCTCTTCCATTATGCATGCTGGTTTTAATCGGTCTATGGAGATGTTTGCAGGTTTCCCGTTGATTTGGACTTTGAACATTTTATCGCTTCTTTCCAGGACTTTGTATGGACCGTCGTATGGTGGCTGGAGTGCTTTTGTTGGGGCATCGTGTCTTATGAATACTCTTTCTGCTGCTGCCAGATCTTTGTGTACGAATGTTGCTCGATTTCCATGACGGCGGATCTGAGGCTTGAGCCTGATCATGGTTTGTTGCAGGTTTCTCACAAATTCGTTTGTTGGCTCTTCTTTTCTCTTTTGTTGCTCTAATAGTTGGCCTGGAAGTCTTATTGTTTCCCCATAGACTAGTTTAGCCGGGGTGGCTCCTAAGTCTTCTTTTATGGCTGCTCGGATTCCTAAGAGGATTACAGATAGCAGTTTGGTCCAAGCTTCGGTTTCGTGTGCTTTGATTGCGGCTTTTAGTTGCCTGTGTAGTCTTTCTATCATCCCATTGGCTGCTAGGTGATAAACTGTTGTGCGCATATGCTGTGATCCTGTGAGTTTTGTTAATTGTTTGAATAGATCGGATTCGAATTGGCGCCCCTGGTCCGTTGTTATTCTTGCTGGTGTCCCGTAGCGTGCAATCCAATGGGTAAAGAGTTGTTTAGCTACAGTTTCTGCTGTGATTGTTGCTATGGGTATGGCTTTTGGCCAGCGTGTAAATCGATCTATTATAGTTAGACAGTATCTTTTTCCTTGTAACATCGGTAACGGTCCCACTACATCCATGTGGATATGCCATGTGGAAATCTTTTGATTGGCCCGAGGAAACTTCCTATTGGTGTACTTGTATGCCTGTGTATTTTGGCTTTCTGGCATGGTATGCATGCCTGTGTCCATTTTTGACAGTCTGCTTTGATGTTTGGCCACACGAAACGCTGTGTTATCATCTAATTGGTCGTCTATGCGTGCTGCGAGGATGGCTTGTAATTGTGCGGGCAGTCTGCCCATCCACAATGTTTTTAGTAATTGGTCAGGTACGGTTGCTCCTGCCAGTGTTCTTAGATGTCGCAGGAATTGTGCAGGTTTCGGTCGCCCATCTCTTCTCGCTCTAGAAGCTGGCGGTTGCGTTGTTCTTGTGAAACGCTTAACCTTTGAATAAGTGCGTTCTTTAC